GTCCAGAAGACCTATACAATTTTTTTCTTTTTGATTTTTTAAATGGATTACTGGGATGCATCAGGACATTATTATTATTATTTAAGAAATGCCTTATCAGACATACTGTATGTTTGGATCMTTGTTACTGTGAAAATTTTGATTATACATACAGTAATTTGGGAAAACTAAAATGAATTTCATAGGATCCTAGAAATATATAAAAACAAAAAGCCTAGGAAACAAATATGGAAGGCAGATTAATGTTGAAAAGACCACGTATTGGAAGTTTAACATCTAACTTTAGCCGAGGAGAAAAGCCACACAGCGCAACACCACAGCTGGGCGATCCRTCTCCTCTCTGTCAGTTCTGTTTAGCATCAGGCTGTTTGGGCCTGTCACCGACATCCTGCAGAGACCATTCAATCAATATAAAGCAGGATATACCAAACAGTTCCAATTGATTTTGTTTTTTCAAGCAAATTGGAACCCATTCAAACTCCACTCATCCTGTGTGAAAAGCATGACAGGCTTGCTGTGGTGGAATGGCATTTAAAACACACAGAACACCATCAACAAACTTGTGTTTCTTACCTACTTATTTCGACATTTATCGACACAAGTTAAACCCAGTTTATTTTTTATAGTTTTTAACAGCACAACTATSCTCCCCTCATAGACTGAAATTTGCTTTGACAGAGGACACTGTGTRTCCAGAGGGCCCGTTTGTAACAAACTATAAACGGAGTCAAACTGTGAACTTGTTGCACTCACTTAGCCCAAAAATAAAGTCACACATGACAGATAACAAAACAGCACAAAGATGGCAATTTTACTTCTTTCATTGTACATAAAGTCCACAACAGTGACCAAAATATTTATGTTTCAGTTACTCAAGTTGTAGCTTTAAAAATCACCAGAATCTGTTACGAGTTTATATATGCTTTTACACGATGCTCAGGTGAACTGTGCACGGTAGTTGCTGTCTAAGCACACACACACACACACACACACACACACACACAAAGTTGGAACAACCGCTTCAAAAGAATTGCTGCTACATTTACACATTGTATTAGTTCACGTTTTTCTTACATGTAAATGGTCCACATTTATTTAGGATCTTTTTAACCGGATTCAGGTTCCGCAAGGAATTTTACAATGTTTCTCATTTACCTATTCACAGTAACACTCAGTGCATTACAGATTTACACTCTATACGCAGCACTTTTATATTCTCACTCATACTCTAGTAAGCATATTGGGAGCAACAGAGGACACWGAGTCTTTCTCAAACATACTTTGACACACTTCAGGGGCTGGGATTCAAACCCCTGATCATCTGACTGGACTGACAGGACAATCTCCCTGAAATGGAGCAAAAGACAAACCTTTAGAGGTTRGGAGAAAGGTCTCTGCAATAAATTTAGAGCAAATCAGTATTTTTCAACTACGTGGTTTTACTCACACCATCAGTTCTTCCTGCTAGCTCTAGTGTGGCCCAGCTTGTTCAACCTTATCTAAAAGCMCTGCCTTTGTTTCCTGCCCATTAAAATGATTAAAATTCTAGTTCTGACTGTGACCTCCTGCTTGCCTGAGATTGGGGCCATCTACAACTACAGACCATCACTACAACAAAAGTAAATGCTGTTGAATTATTACGTTTTAAAGCTACGTTACAGTTAAGCATGGCTTGCCTTTAGTATAGCAGTGTAAAAAAATCAATGTTGGTGCTGTTTTGTGGCAATAAGTAATGAATAACAAAACAGAAACATTCAGATGTTGATCTATTCCTGTAGAAACATTTGGGTCAACCCTTACAAAAGATTATTTAAACTAACTTTACCTTTTCCTTGGTGCCAGCCTGTGTGCTGTCGGGCCTGGTCCGGATGGTAAACGGGGATGCAAGTCTCAGCAGGATGCCCTGGAACGAGGGATCCATCTTGGGCGAGACAATCTCAAAACAGTCTCTAAATGAGAGGCTCCGGAGAGGCTCAATGCGAGCCTGTCTCCTCAGTCCCTCTCCAAGCTGCAGCAGCTCCATGCGAGGCCCCAGGACCAGGTGAAAAGGAAAGGCACGGCAAAACGTGGCCAGGGAAATGCGCAGGTCGCTGGGGTTGGTGGAGAGTGAGAGCGGGGGCCGGCTGGTGCTCCCCGAGGCAGAACTGGGGTGGGAGAAGAGGGAGGGAGGGCACGTCTCCTGGATTAGGAAGGAGAGGCAAACTGTAGGAACAGAGGTTGGAAAAAGAGAGGGAGGGGATGGGGATGAGGAGGGCGAGGCAGTGGGGGAYGCCGTGGGAGTGGGGCTTGTAGAGTCACAGTCTGTATGTTCTGCATCTTCGTTTGGCAGCAGGGGAGTTAGAGGTGGCACCTCTTCCACCTCAACTTCTGAGTGAAAGATCCGCCTAGCAACAGCTCTAATCAAACCTGGCATAACTAATCCGACAACAGGTGCAGGGTTGAAACAATGAAGAAGCAACACCTTCCCTCTTCCAGCTTCGTCTCCACGATTGCCAACTTTGTTCAATTTCCCTCTTCCTTTCTCCTCCTCGTGGGGGTCCTTGCACTGGAAGGAGGGGCTCTCCGATGAGGCGCGGCGCCCCGTGGAGGTGCGAATGTGTTCTAAAATGGCGTCAAAACCATTGAAGAAATCCTGAAGGTTGCCGCCTACGGCCCGAAGCACGCGCTCGTTTTCTTCAAAGCAGAGGCCAAAAAACTCCTCACCAAAATGCTCTCGCAGCTCACAGAACGGTACTCCTATGAGAGAGAGGAGGCAAAACACAAGTGTCAACAGGACAGTGGAGACACACAAAACAACACACTTTGACTGCACAGAATCTAATTCAAACCACAGCAAATTAAATAAAGAAATATAAAGTAATATTATTAGGAAAACAGTACAGCTCTTTGTCCTAGTTATTCCTCTGTGAAGTAATACGCACATAAAATGTTAGACCACTAACTGTTTATATGAACCCTACAATTACACCAACTCCATGATGTGTTTAGACAGAGTTTTTAATCGAGCAAAAATAATTAGAGGCAAATTACCACAGAAAATAAACAAATAATAACCAGAATAAACAAACATCAAAGAAAAAATAAAGAATACTGATAGGATAAAATGATGGCATCAAAAGCCAAATAAATAAATAAAAAATAAAAACTGAATTA